TGGAAAAAATAATGTGAGATACAGTCCACGTAACAATGATAAAATATTATATTTCTTCTCTGACGCTTAATATAGCCACTTGACCTATAGACCTAACTTCAAATGCAAAACTTTGCAAAAGAATTGGTTTGGATTTCGCACACAGCTACATGAGAACTTTCTGCGCTAGCTGCCCCTAATTTGCCAGTGATACACTAGAGGGAAGGCAGCTAGTCAACACCATCCACCGCCAATTCTTGAACTACTCTTTTACCAGCGAATAGTTGGATTGACCATCACATTACAATACCCCAATGCTGAAAGGGCAAACATGTTTGGTGTGACGAGGATTCGATCCGGCAACCCTCAAATGGTGAGACAAGCGCCTTAACCACCAAGCCATGCTAGGCTTTTCCAATAGAAACTCCAAAACTACTGTAGGCCTAACGCTAATAACGGAGTAACTTACTATTAGCTGATAAAAGTACTAACTTCCAGTGATCTGAATATCTTTATTCGATCAATCTTTCCTCAATCAACAACTACTCAATCATCTATTCTTGAACTTATGGTGAGATCTCACATCTGCTGAGAACAATAAGTTCTAGATTATAGGACTTCTTCTATGAACTTTCTTCCTTCCCTGTTTACCCCACATAGAGTTCTATCCATTTAATCATGGAATCGCCAAATTTCCGAATTTCTGAAACTTCTAACTTTTTCATTCTGATTCAGAGTTAAGTGTCGAAGCTTAATGTGACATATTTCTTTCTCAAAAAGTTAAAAAATATTTTTGTAATTCAAATATATTCCAATTATTCTTGTAATGTAGTTTTTTTTTCTTTGCAGCTTCTTTTGAATTATTGGATGAACATAATTCAACATCCAGTCGGCTTAATGAGATGAAATCAGTTTGTCTCTTCCTTTAAACATTTCTACAAGATTAAACCACTTTATAACTTTCGTAATTTGTTAGGCCTACGTTTACAAATAATGTTATATCTCTCTCTCTAACAACAGCACAATAACTAATGTACAATCAAGCAACTTCCTTAATGTCGCCCAATAACTCACTTTTATCCCAACTTTCAACATAACCTGACGATTCATGGAACGTCGTTTTTATAATATGCTCTTGTTCTAAATATTTCTACCATTAACGTAACCTTAATGTCACTTATATCACTAAAAACCTGCACAATCTTCTATCTAATAAACACATTATAACATTAAAGGTATTCCTGGATTGTGACGTCCCTTGAACAATCCTAATGCAAAAATAACACTAGACTAAATTGTCCACCCACCAAGTTTTTTTGGCAGTTTTCTCTTCAGAGGCACATAGTATACAGATGGGATATCATCTTGTCCTTTGTTGTTGCTGACCGTCCTGTTTCTAGAAGAATTCAGCTTAGATAGGTGGACGAGTGAATCCACTGGCAGTTCCAGCCTTGATGACTCTTTGGAAATAATCCCTAAAGGAACTCCTAGCTCCACAATAGGTTGAGTTTCCACTGACAAGTTCTTCCCTGGAGTTACTAAGTTTGTTTTTCTCTCACAGACACACTTCCAAACACAATTATGGTTGATGACCTTAAGCTTAGATTGCTTATCGTCTGAACACCTACTTAATTTTGGAATTTGTCTTCTTTTATGACAAGAACTGTTCAGCCATACCATGTCACCTTGATAAAATCCAGAGTTATCAGCATTCACACCATAGCTACCTTGAATTTCATAACCAACTGATCTAAGTATTTTCTATGTAAAGTCATGTTCATCTTTATTCTTCACATTCATAAGTCTTCCTACCATCACTTTTTCAGCTCAGGACATGCCGAAGTATTTGGTTCCACTATGCCCCAATCACTAGATGAAGAATTATTTGTAATGATTCCTGAGTATTTCATTTCTTGTTGGTGGAATGACTGTTCTCCTTGTTGTCACAGAAAGTCCAATCTCTGGTGTAGAAATTGTCATGTAGTGCACTGATATCTCCTGGTCATGGACTGTGAAGCCATTTGAAGTAAGCCTAACCTCGCATTCATGTCTGTTCACAAAGTCAGTTCCCAATATGTACTATTCCTTGATGTCAATTACACTCACATCATGAAGCATAATGAAGTTTCCTACAGTAAGAATAGCTTCTAGCTTAGGACTTGCTGGAATTGCATCTTTCTTTGTATCTCAAACTAACTCGACGTTTCACGAAGCATTCTTGTAATCTACCCTCCTTCTAGATATTTCTAAGGCTAACGTGAACGTAATGTCACATATCATTAAAAACCTTCAGCGCCCTTTAGCCACCAAATAAATTACCTTATAATTATATACCTTACTCCAATATTATTTCCAGTTGCGTGACTTTAATGGTTGGCGAAATGAAAAACAGTATACTAATATTAACAGAGATAAAGATCAGATGTGGACATTTTTAAAGATTAATTTTAAATATTCAAGGTAAACATATTTTTTATAGAAAGAAAAGGGTAGCTGCAAGTAAAAACCAGATTGGCTTACAAAGAGTTTAAGAAATAAAATTAAAGAAAAGCACCATAAATTTGATAGAAGAGTGGCTGGATGGAAGATGTTTGTAATTAAGCGTAAAGCTACACAATGGGCTATCTGTGCTCTGCCCACCACGGGTATCGAAACCCGGATTCTAGCGTTGTAAGTCCGCAGACATACCCCTGTGTCACTGGGGGCATGGATGGAAGAAAGCAGAGAGTTGTTACAAATGGAGTTCAGTCAAACTGGATTAATAGCACAAATGGGATACCTCAGGGATCAATCTTAGAATATTTACTCTTTTTGATTTACATCAATGACATAGATGAAGGAATGGTCAATAAATTACTTACATTTGTAGATGATATTAATGTTTTGGGTGTTGCTAGCTGTGAATAGGATACTGCTGATTTACAAAAGGATTTAAATCATTTAGTGAGTTGGGCAAATATATTGCAGATGGGTTTTAATTAAAATAAATGCAAGATAATGCATGTGTGTTATCATAATTTGAATTATAAGTATAATTTGAATGAAAATAACCTTAACAGTGTTATGAAGGAAAGGGATCTTGGTGTAATAGTCTCTAAAGCCATCCAAGAAGTGTACCTAGTGGTAGGGCAAATA